ACCATTGTCAAACTAAAGCGAGAATTGCGCTGTCTGCAACAATTGTTGGAAAAGTCAACAAACAAAAAACATTCACTCTATGTCAGACTGAAAGAGTGCAGATCCACTATGGCAAATCATCAGGTCACGGTGCAAAAACTAAAGAGCAAAATCAAAGAAATTCAATCTAGAGAATCAAACTATAGACAGCGGACCGAACAATATTTGACGGAAAAACAAGAAACAAAAAAACAGGTAAATCAACTCACGGCCACAAATGACTATTTATGTCTGGAGCTGAACCAGCAACGATTTCAATCTATCGACGCAAGCAGAAATGTAAAAATGACAAACAAAGCACAATTCAAAAGTAGAATCAAGGGTACAACATTTTCAGACAACGTACGCAAGTGTGTCATGGTGCTCCAAGGTGAGGCAGGCGTGGCCGCAAAACAATGCAGTGTGGTTATGCAGCTAGTATCCAAGCATTTATTTGACGTGGTAATACCGTCCGAGGATTTGCCTACTGAATGCATAGCCCTAAACATGGACGACGAAAGCCATGGGCTAAGCAAATACCAAGTTGGAGAAAGCTTGTTGTCCGAAAAGTATGACCTGCATTCAGACGGAACCACTAGGGACCATAAGAAGGTGATGGGGCATCAGGTTACTTAACACTCGGGCATCAATCTTTCTCTTGGATTCTGCCCGGTAGCCGTGGAGGACAGCGCGACGTTGCTAGATGTTGCCATTGAGACTCTTGACGAACTCGGCAGCATCATAGATGATGACAATGACAAACTCTCTCAAGAAATGCTATCAAATTTGTGCAGCGCCATGTCGGACAGGGCCAGTGCAAATAAAAAGTTCAACTCTGACTTAAATGCTTACAGAAAGGAGAAACTAAATACAGTTGAAGACATCGAATTTCTATATTGCAACGCACATTTTCTTCTGGGCCTGTCAAACAAGTGCGAAACTACTCTTCGAGATATTGAAGCAGGGATCGAGTCGACAGTTGGACACCGACTGGGTCAAAATCAATTAAAAAAATTCCAGTCATTCAAAGGAAGCGAGACCAGTACAGCCTGCGATAAGAACAGGTAGCGACTGTCTGGGACCCAAAGGCGAGTTCGGAATTAAGTCTGAAGTCAGCAGCTTCCGCATGAACCGATTTAACAAACTTTTTTCATGGCACAGGTGCCCTTTATCACCACAGAACTGATATTATTAAATTTCTATCTGGGAGCTACCTAAAGTGGGTTAACATGAAAATGGAGAGTGTTCGGGAAGACTTGCAGTCTCCAGAGATAGCAGAATTAGTGCGAGCATTGGGAATCGTCTACTTCCGAGTAACTGAACCATACTGGAGTTTAATGAAAAGTGATAGACACTATCTAGACCTACACAAGTACATACATAAGATGCTTAAAATGCTGAAAATCTGGTCTGTGGATGCTTCACCATTGCTCTGTGAAAATGAGCAGTGTGTTTGCGAAGTTTGCTCTTGGACATGACGCAGTTTACAAAACTTTGTACTCCGAGGTTTCTCCAGCTGAAGAAGCAGTGACGAAGGACGCACTTCACAAGCTGATGGGTGCATGCATTGCAGTGATCGAGAAGCAGTTAGCTGATTTCCTGGATGGAGGAGTGTATGGGTCCGAGCCTAGTGAGGAAAGTGTAAAGACTTCACGGTTAAAGGGGTTATCCAGTGTAGAAACGAGTTATATTAATGGAAAGAACACAATTTTCTGATAAATAAAGTCTGGGATACATACCCATGATTTGTAGCGGTTTCATAGTAATTGCCGATTGTGTATCGTGCAATCGCCACGATTCAAGCATGCCGCCATAATTTGTAGCGACTCGCGGCGCTGGAGTCTGACGCGACGTATTGTCCCGTTTCTGTAAGTGCTTTCATAGGAATACGAAAATAGGAATAATTTCTTTCGATGGCTTTCAATAACAGTGATAGTGAATCTTCTAATGAAATATTTATGCCAGATAATTTGCAAAGTATTCGTCCATATTGTTACGAACCACAAGGCGCTGCCGAGGAAAAACACTTCAATGCTAGTTCCACAAGACATGTGTGACACCTTCATCGTCACCCTCTATAAGATCAAAGGTGACCGCAGCGACTGTAACACCTTCCGCAGCATCTCCCTCCTCGTCAGTCGGTAAAGTCTTTGCACGGGTCGTCTCGGCCCGTCTGCAGTGCCTCGCTCCACGAGTTTACACAGAGTCACAGTGCAGCCTCAGAGCCGGCAGATCTACAGTATGATGTTCAGATATGATCTTCTCACTACGTCAGCTACAGGAGAAGTGCAGAGAGCAGCAAACACCAATGTTCATCGCCTTTATCGACCTGACAAAGGCGTTCGACCTGGTTAGTCTTAATCTTCCCACGATTCCGGTACACAGCGATGGGCGTATCAACGAAACCCTACAGCTTCGCCAGGACGTACAGAAGAGGTTCCACGACCGCCGCTACCCCCACACGCTCCCAGAGCTACGCACAGAGGAGAGCGTACGAGTGCGTGACCCCATCACCAAGCGCTGGCAACCAGCCATAGTGGCTGCTGCCGACCGTAACCCGCGGTCATACATTGTCCACACCACCGGTAAATCTCTTGCTTAACTTAGCGACTATTCGGTGATTCTCAGGCAATAACTAGCTTCTTGCGGAATGTACTTATTATTACCGCTTGTACATATGCTTATATTGAATTAGTATAGTATTTTGATGCCTGTACTGTATAACTGTATATACTGCACCCAAGATGTGAATTTATCTTAATCTACTCCAACCAAGTACTGTAATCTGACATACTATAATCTCAATGTACTTGTTATCTCTGTTATTGTGCATGTGCTTTCATCCGAGTTAGTGCAGTATTGTGCTTGTACCTTATCACTGCATTCAGCGGCGGATTAAAGCTCACTGTTGGTGATCTTGGTGCCCCCCTCCTTTCCACACTGACCCAGTCCATTTTAGTTGTTGACCTGTCTGGCCAGATATACAATGCAGGTTGCAGCAGTACAAAAATTTATTCATATGATAACACAATATAGCAGGGGCGGATTCAGACCGTATTTGCCGTATTGGGAAATACGGTCTAGATTTCAAAGTGCCTTTCGAAATTTTGCGCTAAAAAATACAGAAAACAATTTGATGAAATTTGGCTATATTCTTTATTTGTTTTCTTTTTCTTTTGATTCATTGACTAAGGAAATCAAAATTTTACATGGTAACAAAACTAGCTTTGATATCTGAAAAAGAAGGGAAGTGCTTGAACCATTCTGCATTAATTGCTGGTATGCAAAGCGCAGGCAAAATGAAGCAGAAATAAAATTCCATATGTGCTCATTATATATAGTGCTCATTTTTGTGCCCAGGGACCCTTGAAATTTTGAAATTTCTTGGAGGAGGCCCCCCAGACCCCCCGCCATGTGCTTCCGCGCCTGACGGCGCCTATTAGCTGTGGGGTGGTGTGCCCTTTTTGGGGGATGTGCCCTTAAAATTTGGAAAAATACTGTCTAGCTTCAGCCCTGGATGACCCGCCCCTGTATACTGTACAAACTAAGCCAAGCTTGGGCTACATAAAGTTCTACAAAAATGTAATACAACATCTATTTTAATATTTCACAAGTTAAATGTATCAAAGTTCCAATATTCATGACCTAAAAGGCATTTTTCTACATTTCATTTTCGCAAAATCACTGATAATTACATCCTCGAAAGTAATACTTCTCAGAATATCTGTTTCAATTGTTAATATACACAGTGAGTCTAGTCATTCTTGAAGCATAACTGATCTATTTGGGTTTTTTACACGTTGCAGTTGTGAGAAAGATCTTTCTGTTGTGCAGTTGGTCACCAATAATGTTAAAAATATTCTTAATGCAATTTCAACATTTGGAAAGGCACTCTCTAGTTTGTCTTCTGTAATTGTGTTGTAAAGTTTCATGTGAGTGAAAGATGTTTTCTTGGTTGTTTTAAA